TTTTTTGGAGAGGTTTTTGCTATAGGGCACGTGCGCTCGCCAGCCAGACAGAGACAGAGAGACAGAAAGCGAGAAATCACCCCCCCAGGGGGGATGGTCACGCCGCAATCCCTTCTCCTCCATTCTCCTCTCGGGATCTTGGGCACGCACGCACACGTGCCCGGCGTGAGTTTTAAGCCACCGGGTCAGGGACGTGAACCGCGGTCGACTACGTGGGAGTCCAGCAACATAGCCATTACGCTAACTGCTGGTTCCCTGGCAGACCTTCTGTGTGCCAGATACAATCGCATTCGCAGCTCACTCCAGCCCTGTGAAGTAAGTATTATGGATGCTCCCTTTTCAGACGAGGAAATAGACCATGAAGCTGAAGTTGGATCCAGGCCAGCTCTTCCTCACTCTGAGTTCATTCAAATATATTGTCTGTAGGTCAGGCAAAAGGCTGTTACCCAGTAGGAAAGGCGGGAATAGACTGGTCTGTGGGGCTGACTGAGAATGGGGCTGAGATGAGGGTGGCCCTGGGAATGCCATGGTCTTCTTGGCCACTGACTCCCCTCCCTGGCCCGAGCTCACTGTCAGGGCAGATCTGCCGCAGCCTTGTTTTGCCCTGAGGAGTGGGGAGAGGAGACTGTGCCGCTGCGTTGGGTTTCATGTCACAGAACCAGTCTGGGCACTTAATGAGAGTCTCTAACCCAGTCTTGGGGTTATTGGAACAGCTCTCCGGTTTCAGCACTGAGACTTCGGTTCATGACTTCCCTCAGAAAGATCTAGAAACAGTGCAATCCTAAAGTCACCCCCAGGAGAGGGGGGGAAGTCTGTGCTGCTACCTACTGTGTTTTTACAAGTAGCCTGATAACTAGAGGTCTGCAAGAGGTGGAATTGGTGGGCTGCCAGCTCAACGCAGGGTCCCTGCAGACCGCATTCCGGAGCTTCAAGTGTCATTCGCTCGCTCCACACGTGTTTGCCCTCTCACACGCCACTCTTCGCCCTCCACCTGCGGGGGTGGGGAGGCAAACCGCAGTCCCTGAAGATTGAGCCCTATAGGCTCCAGCTGTGCTAGGTGGTTTTTTTTTTTTTTCCTTTTTTGGTAAACAGTTGGCTTTTTAAAAAATAATTTATTATTATTATTATTATTTAAATTAGTGATAGGGCATGCGTACTCAACAGAGGGAGACAGAGAGAGAGAGAGAAAGTGAAAGCCAGAAAGCAAGCCGCCAGGTCCAGGGCTTGAACTGCAGTTGGCCATGTGGGAGTCCAGTGCCTTAGCCACCACCCCACTGCTGGCCCTAAGAGGGCTCCTTTTAGCATTTCTCCTGATTTGCTGACAGATGCAAATGCTGTTGCCTTTTCAGAGATGTACTAGTTTGGTAGGTCTGCCCACAAAGTACCCCAAACTGGGTGGCTTTTCTTTTTTTAAAGTTTTTGTTATAGGGAACATGTGCTTACCAGAGGATGGTGCAGGGAGGGGGGTTTTGAAAGCACCCCTCAGTGGAGATGGCCATGCCATAATCCCTTCTCCTCCATTCTTCTTTCGGACACGCACGTGTATGCAGCTGGTGAGTTTTTTCAAGTCTCTGGATCCTGGACTTGAATTGTGCACTTGGCCATGTGGGATCCAGTCACCATTGGCTAGCCCTGGGTAGCTTAAAACAAAAGAAATTAAATTTTGAAAATTTATTTAACTTTATGTATTCTTATTATTTTTAAATTTGCTATAGGGCACATGTACTCACCAGAGAGAGAGAAAGAGAGAGTGAGAGAGAGAGAGAGAGAGATGGGGTGTGGGGTGGGGGAGTGAGAAAGCAAGTCGCCAAGTCTGGGACTTGAATCGTGGTTGGCCATGTGGGAGTCCAGTGCCCCAACTACCATGCTACCTGCTGGCCCCTAAAATTTTTGTTTCTTTGTTTATAAGCTAGAGGCTCTTGTGCTCACCAGAGAAAGAGACACAGAGAGAGGAGGAGAGGGAGGAAGCACTGCCCTATCGGGTGCGCTCTCTTTGCAGTCCATTCTTCTCCATTTCTCCATGCTGTTAGGATTTGGGGTCATTTGCACCTGGCATGTTTTTCAAGCCTCTGGAGCCAGGATTCAAACTGCGTAGTTGGCCAGGTAGGATCTGTCTCCCCTAACCACTGAACTACAGGGCCAACCCAAAACAATAGAAATTAATTTTCTTCAAATTCTGAAAGCTGGAATCCAAAATGGAGGTGTTGTCAGGATTGGTTCCTTCTGGAGGCTGTGAGGTTGTCATTAATCCGGGTTCCTGGGTTTGCGGTGACACGACGTCAGTCCAGGCCTCTTCTCTGCCTGTCTGTCTCATGGCCTTCTTCCCATGGCCCTCTTCTCTGCCTGTCCCTCTCCTCCGAGTCTGTGCATCTCTCTGTGGCCTCGTCTCATGAGTACACGGGGTACTGGATTTAGGGCTGCTGAGCGACACCCCGTCTCGCGCATCGCGGAAAGATGGTGCTGTGCTTTGCCCTCAATGCCCTCTGCTAGGATGTGTCTGGGACTCCAGCCACTGTCTGCCCACCCAGCCTCATCTCCCACTGTCCGCACTTGTGCCATGCTTTATTGACGAGCGGGGCTGTCACATGCCTCTGTGCCTTTGTGCATCCTGCCCCTTGGCCTGGGATGCCCTCGTCCCCTTCTCTTCCCCATCTGGTGAGCTCTTACCCTTTAGACCTTCGGGTCTCAGCGGGGTCCACCCTGAGCTCGTCAGAGTGCTGACTGCCCTTTTCTCTCTTTTCTGATTTTATTTTATTTTATTTTATTTTATTTTATTTTATTTTATTTTATTTTATTTTATTATTTTTTGTATAGGCTGTGTGCTCTCACCAGAGACAGAGACAGATAGACAGACAGAGAGACAGAGAAGGTGAGAAATCACCTCCTACCCGCTACCTCCAGGGGAGATGGCCACACCACAATCTCCTTCCTTCCACTCACCTCAGGATCTGGGCGCACACGCACGCACACCTGGTGTGATTTTCAAGCTACCGGGTCTGGGACTCAGACCACACAAACAGCCATGTAGGATCCAGCACCTTACTTTCTATGCCACCTGCTGGCCCAGCTATGGGCTTTGGTGCCAGACAGATGTGGTCCTGTGTGCTCCTCTGCTGTGTCACGTGCCACACCCTCGGCTTTCACTTGATCATTTGCAGCTCCATAGAAGATCAGGTAGAGCTGCTGAGTGACGGGGTACACGTGGACATTCTCTCCAGAGGATGGAGACCCTGTAGGATCGCTCTCATATTTCTGCTGTGTGCCCAGCAATGTGTGGTGGGTAGTCGGCTCCCTGCATCACTGAGATCGAATGGAAGAACTGCTGCTAGCGGGAGCCCAGTGGGGGCTGTTGCTCAGGGACCCCGGCAGTTCCAGTGGAGAGGTGGAGTGGTGACCCAGGGAAGTACGGTTCTCCTGTGCTTTTCTCCTACCTACTTAGGTGCTGCTGCAGTTTTTTCTTTTTTCAAAATTTGCTACAGGGTTCATGTATTCACTGGAGAGAGACAAACAGAGAGACAGAGAGGAAAAGTGAAAAATCATCCCCTGGGCTGGCAGGTGGCATGATGATTAAAGCACTGGACTCCCACATAGCCGGTTGTGGTTTGAGTTCCAGACCTGGCGGCTTGCTTTCTCGGTTTCTCTCTGTCTGTCTCTCTCTTGCTCTCTTTGTCTCTCCCTGGTGAGTGCACATCCACTATAGCAAATTAAAACTAATAATAAATCAAATTAAATCATCCAAAAAAGAAAGAAGGAAAAGACTGGAACGGCACAGTCAGCCATGTGGGATCCAGTGACTGAACCCACATGTCACCTGGCCAACCCCCTCAGCTGTTTCTTAAATGAGACAGTAGAGGTCAGGGAGCAGGACAGATGGCATCCTCCACCTTGCTAGCAAAGAGGCAACAGGAGAGAAAGAGGGAACCCCGGCCCCGAGATCCGACAGCCCCAGATTCTAAGGTACACTGGTAAAGGGGCCAGGACCAGGACTTGGCAGGGCTGTCTGTGTTCTTGGTTCATTCCTGCATCAAGAGCAGGGATTGTGGTGGGGGCGGTGAAGGGAGGTGCTGGCAAGGACTGGCCTCTGGGACTCTCAGACCTGCAGGCCCAAGCTCACCCTCGTGCGACCTAAGGGTCCCCTTGCTGTCCTTGCAACTGAATGAGGCCCTCTCCAGCAGCAGGACAGCCTCTCTTTTGGGGGTGCAGGACACTTCTTCTCATTTGCTTCCTGTGCTGCTGAACACTGCCACCTGCCACTTCAAACTGGGGACGTGTGAAGGAGGGTAACTGGACCAGACGGTGGCCGAAGCACGGTGGGAACACAGCATTCCGTGAGACTGACGCATGTGGGATGTTTTGGGTGGGCGTCTGGAGACCTCCCTGAGTATACTGGGCATGCAGGTGCCTGTGGTCCAGGGCTGGCTAACGCTGGTAGTTGTGGCATCAAGACCCTGCTGGGGAGACCAGCAGTTCGCATAATGGCTATGTCGCTGGACTCCCATGTAGTTGACCGTGGTTCAAGTCCTGGATCCGGTGGCTTGAACTCACACCAGATGTGTGCATGCGTGCCCAAGATCCCGAGAGGAGAATGGAGAAGGGATTGCGGCATGACCATCCCCCTGGGGGGAGATTTCTTGCTTTCTGTCTGTCTCTGAATTCTGGCGACCCCACTTGCCCTATAGCAAAAACCTCTAAAAAAAAAAATTATTTATTTTATTTATTATTACTATAGTTTTTTTTTTTTTTACATGAGTTTTGCCAGAGAGAGAAAGAGAGAGAGATAGAGAGAGAGAGAAAGCAGCCAGCTCCAAGGCTCAAGTCACAGTTGGCCATGTGAGAATTCCAGCGCCTTAACCACCATGCCACCCGCTGGCCCCCAGAGCTCGGGATTTAAGGAGGCAAATCACTCTCAGGCCTGGGAGTGCCTTCTTGAATTCTGTGCTCTGGGTGCCTCACTGGCTTCCCCCTAGTCCCGGCTTTGTGCTGGACTGGCAGATCCATAAAGGGATGGAGGGTGAAAAGACATTGAAAGGAGGCTAGAAGAGAGAGTGCTACGAGGGTCAACAGCAAAGTGAAGAATCCGGACTAAACACAGCGCTTCCCGAGGAGCACCCCCACAGCTCCCCACACAGCCCGGAACCGGGAGACAGACGGCATTCAGAGAATAACGGACACTGGGAAAACCAGACGCGCACGCCACATCCTCACTACGTTTGCCCGTTTCTCGTTCTGGGAAGGGGGTGGGAAGATGGAGGGAAATCCTCGACGTCCACTGCTGCTGCTCCTTCTCCCTCCTGGACTAGACGCCTTTAGCTTGATGTCATGAACCCCACCCCGGGTGCGGTGAATCAGACTCCTGAAACGCCAGAGCTGGAAAGCCCTGAGAGACAGCTCGCCCTGGGCCCCTGGTGTGCTAGCCACTAGCCACGTGTGGCTTTTGAGCACTTGGAATGTGGCTGTGAGAATAACAAGTACACTGGGTTCTTTCCCTTAGTCACCAGAGGGCATGTGTGTGAGAGTGCACGAGAGAGAGAGAGAGAGAGAGAGAGAAGAGAGATTGGGGGGGGAGAGTGAGCGCGAACGCGAGCATGCACTCCCCAGCAGTAATGGTCGCATGGCCGTCCTGTCTCTCTTTCTCCATCCCGTCAGAGTTTGGGGCACACAAGCACATATGCTTAGTGTCGTTTGCAAGATACTGTGGCTGGGACTGGAACTGTGGTTGACCATGTGAGTTTTGGCTTCCTTAAGCACTAGGCTATGGGACCTGCACTAGATTTTTTTTGTTGTTGTTTGTTTGGAGAGGTTTTTGCTATAGGGTGCGTGCACTTGCCAGAAGACAGAGAGAGACAGAGAGACAGAAAGCGAGAAATCACCCCCCAGGGGGGATGGCCACACTGCAATCCCTTCTCCTCCATTCTCCTCTCGGGATCTTGGGCACGCACGCACACACGCCCGGCGTGAGTTTAAGCCACCAGGTCTGAGACTTGAACCGTGGTCGGCTACATGGGAATTCAGCAACATAGCCATCACGCTAACTGCTGGTCCCACCTGCACTAGATTTTTTTTTTTTTTAGAGGTTTTTGGTATAGGGCACATGAGCTCGCCAGACAGAGAGAGACAGAGAGAGACAGAGAGACAGAAAGCGAGAAATCACCACCCCCCAGGGGTGATTTCTCTCTCTGTCTGGCGAGCGCACGCGCCCTATAGTGAATATCTCTCTCTCTCAAAAAAAAAAAAAAGATGTAAATGAGCTCAACAGTATTTTTTAAAAATATTGATGACATGTTATAATGATCATATTTTAGATCTATTAAGTTAAATAAAGTATATTCATAAGATGAATTACACTATTTCTTTTAACTTTAAAAAAATATTTATTTTGAAATAGAGAGAGAAAGCCTCAACCGAGTCACGTGGTGGGTTCCTCTCTAGCCTTTCCCGGCCTGTCAGGATGTGTGCACATACCCGGTTGTCGAACTGGGAACTGAAACCCCGTCTTCCACAGTGCTTCCAGCGTTACAGCGTGTCACACCACCAGGGCCGGGCCTCGTTTTACTTCTTTGATGTGGTTGCTGGAAACTTTACGATTACGTATGTGGCTTACAACTGTGGCTTGAATCACACATCTGTTAAACAAGGGTGGTCTGTTTTTTTGTTTGTTTTTAAGAGAGATTTTTTGCTATGGGGCATGTGCATTCACGAGAGAGAGAGAGAGAGAGAGAGAGAGAGAGAGAGAAAGGGAGAGACAGAAAGTGAGAAATCACCCCTCAGGAGGGATGGCCACACTGCAATCTCTTCTCCTCCAGTCTCCTCTTGGGCACGTGTGCACTCGCACCCAGTGTAAGTTTTAAGCCAGTAGGTCTGGGACTTGAACCGAGGTTGACCATGCGGATGTCCAGCCATGTAACCATTTCACCATCTGCTGGTCCCAGTGGTGGTTTTGATGGCCGCCTTCTTCTTCTTTTTAAGAATTGTTTATTTTATTAATTATTATTATTTTAAACTTCCTCTAGTCATCAGAAGAAGAGAGAAAGGGAAAGTGAGAAAGGTCCAGGACTCGAACCCTGGTCGACCACGTATGTGGGAGTCCAGCGCCCTTCGACTCTATCTTGGGCACACAGGCATACAGGACCGTGTTAAGCCCGCTGCGGACTTGGTGGGAGTCCAGCATTGCAATGTAGTCCCCGCCTAGTGGGAATTTCGAGTTGCTTGCAGGTCCAAGACTTGAACCACGGTCGCCCATGAGGAGTCTGGTGCCTTAACCACCACTCTACCTGCTAGTGTCCCCTCCCCCCAGCCACATTTAAACAGCACATTAGGCTCTGGAATGTGGTGGGAGGTGAAAAGAAAGCTGAGGCGCCCGAGTCTTCCCGCCCTGATCCGTACGCGGAGTAGCCAGGTTGGCGTCCCAGGCGCGCTAACCGCCACCTTGAAAAGGGTCCCTGTCCCTCCCTGGCGGCCGCAGGCGCAGGACCTTGCCTGGGCGCGGAAGGGGCAGCCGCTCCGGGATTGTTTGACAAGCAAACAAAGCCAAGTTTCAGTAGGACTGGCTTGATACTGGAAGAGGAGTGGGCGGTGGAGAGAGGGGGAACCAGACACCAAAAGCGAATTCCTTCATGTCATCATTCTATCTGGCGCCCGGTCCATGCCCGCATTGTCGAGGCTTGGTGAAAGGGAGCCAGGGACGTGGAGAGACGCGATCTCGCAGCCTCGGCAGCACTCGTGGTGCTTATAGGACCACCGAGGAGTTGCTGAGCTAACGCTGGACCCCGTGGGACGTTTTCGAGCGCGGCCACCCCATTCTGGTCGCACTCACCGGGGGAAAGCGATGGAGAGAAAAAGTGGAGGAAGGCCGTCGGGTCCCACTGGACCAACGCTGGCGCCGCCGCCACTCGCTGGCTAGGCCCTTGCCCTTGGCTGCAGGAGCGCGGGCGTGGAGGGGGGTGTGGCTCCCTGGGGAGGTGACAGCCTGCAGGGCCGATAAGGAGCGGGACTCCTCCGGCCCTCACTTTACAGCGTGTCCCGGGACTAACCTGCGCGCGCCTGGGAGGAGTCGGGTGCGCTGGCCGGGCGGAGTTGGGCAACGCTGCCCCCCCACACCAACAAACTCATTTCAGGGGTGACTGTGCTTCTGACGTCAGGCGGCTTTTGGTTCATTCCCTGGCACGGGGACTTTATTTTCATAACAGCATGAAGTGCCGTGGAACTGGAATAGGCGTGTCCTCTCCCCCGACCCTCCCGCCCCTTGTCCCTCTGCTCACCCCCCTAGCTCCCTCCCTCCGGCGATAGCGCCTTTATAACTGCTTGGCGCGGCCAGGGAGAGATCTCTGCCCGAGGACTTCCCCAGCACCAACTGGGTCCCGTCCTACCCTTTACGCGCGGGAGGCAGCGCCAAATTCACCCGGGTAAGTGCCCCGTAGCGAGCCCCAGAGCGCGCCTGGTCTCCAGATTGAAATCAGGGGAGAGTGGGACGTTGGGAGGAGTGGGGTCGAAGAGGAGAGAAAGGAAATCGGAAAGGAACACAGCTGGCTGGGAGAAAAAAACGTCTCCGTGGACTTTCTCTAGTTGAACTCAGCTCGGATATCTCCCCTCCTGGGCTTCAAGGTGGAGAGCACCAGGATAATCCGGATAGTGGGTTCTGCTTAGAATACAGTCTACGCACTCCGAGTAGGGGGACCCCGACTTAGGTAGGAGTGAGCAGTTTGGGGGGCACTTCAGGGGAGGAGAAGAGAGGGAGAGAGATCTTAGAAGGGGAGAAACTGTGGGTGCCGAGGGATGAGGGGAAAAGGGAGGGGGAGGAGGGACATGGTGACAGCTGCCACTTTAGGGAACCAGGAACCAGAAAGTTTCTATTTTGCTCTTTCTCCACAAGCACAGCCTTAGGAATTTGGGGAAATAGTTCTAGAGTCCTCTCCTTTCCCCATGGATGTGTAGGGTCAGCATTCCCTCTCCTGCTGTCCCTTGGTTGCTCAGGAACCCGGGAGAGATGGAAGAAGAGTGGGCAGTACGGCCACCTTGCCTCAGTGGGACGGGACCTGGGAACGGCCTACACGGCAAGCGGCTCAGGATGGTCCTGAG